ATTTTTATTTTTCTGTTTTTTGTTATTATTAAGTTATGGATCCCGCTAACAGCGCTTCATAGGAAATATATAAGCTATTATCACTATTATAAGATGTTAAACCCTTTTTTTTTCACAACCTTTACTGAAACATTTTTATTCTAAACATGTAACCCATTTTTGAGTCTACCACATTTTTCTTTCGTCCAATGCTGCTCCAATGGTGTCATTGCTTTCGAGTCTGGTTCTAGTATTGGTGTATTGAACAGAGCTATAAACAAAATAAATCAAGATAACTTGTTCAATTAGTAGGCCTATGAGGAGTGTATCGGGGCAAGAGCAGAACCGAATAATTATTAGGGTGAGGACAAAAGTAACAGACATTATATATCTATTAGTATTGATACATATATAAAAAGGAATGAAGGTAGAAAAAGGTTTATTCAGAGGAACAGGAAAAATAGATTAGATCTTGAATACAGAAATAAGAATAAATAAACAAGCTGTTATTTATCTTTATTGACAGATTGCGTAAACAAAGGTTGGGGGATCAGATTAACAAAGACAGACTATTAGTCATAGGCCGTTCCCAAGCAAAACTTTTTTTACGTTTTGGGAACAAAAGTATTTAGCTCAAAATAGTAATTTAAACTATAAAAAAACATTTTACCAGCCAAAATTTATGGGGGGTTGGACAATTTACAAATTAGTAATTTATACCCTCGTAGGTGGGGGCTATAAATTACAAAAAGTAAAAACAAGTGTGACATGACTTAAAATAATATTTCTAATTACTAAACTAGCATGTTTTATATACTGGTTGTATATGGGCTACATTGCTATCCTCAGTATACTAAAATTATAAGCTAGTACTTACAGTGACTTCCAAAACTGGAAACATGTTTACAAATTTTGTAATGTAGCAACTACTATGCTTTGAAAACAAATGATAAAACTTTGATAATTTTTGGAGGTCATAAACATCCCATGGACTACCTTTCACATAATTTTGGAAAGTAGACGTACATTTTGGCGATCACCGTATTCAATTGAACTTGACCTGTACATGTTTCCAGTTTTGGAAGGCAATGAAAATATTTAAAAATGACCCACAACTCGGTCATGTATCAAATAAAAACGAGCCAAAATTAATTTTCAGCTGTTTTAAAGCTAACTACATTTTAAGGTAAGTTTTAAACTCAATTTGGGAATGGCTACAAGCACCTACAAAAAATTTGTTACAGATGCGCAAAATTACGAATGACCAATTACAAAATATTATTTCACTTCTTCAAACAGGCAAAAGCAACCGTCAGGTAGCTTTGGAGACTCAAATTAGTCACACTCTCATCAATCGAATTGCTCGCGAGCACGTTACTGATCGAGAAAAAGATAAAGGTGGACGCCCTTCACTATTAAGTCAGACAGAAAAACGATACTGCGTACAGCAAATTAACAGGGGTGGTCAGGAAAACGCTGTACAAGTCGCAAGAGTCTTGGAGAACAACATTCAAAAGCGTGTGTCACCTGAAACCGTTCGTAGGGCCTTAAAATTGTCTGGATTAGGTGCAATTGAAAAGCCAAAAAAGCCTCTTTTACGAAAAGCAAACGTCGCCAACCGCCTTAAGTGGGCTAAGGCTCACAGAAACTGGAGTATTGATGACTGGAGACGTGTAGTATGGTCCGATGAGACTAAAATTAACCGATTCAACTCCGATGGTCGCACATGGGCTTGGATTAGAGACACTAGGGAGATTCAGCCTAGACACGTAAAGCAAACTATCAAGCATGGAGGTGGATCCATCATGATTTGGAGCTGCATAAGTGCCAGTGGTGTTGGCTGGATGTGTAAAATTGATGGTACAATGAACAAAGAGCTTTATATGGATATTTTACGTGACGAATTGGACAAAAGCGTAGATATGACAGCTGAAAATCTATCTTTGAATCGAAACCAGACGATTTTTCAGCAAGATAATGACCCGGAACACTCATCAAAACAGGTACAAAATTACTTGAAACAACAAGATTATGACGTCATGAACTGGCCATCGCAATCACCGGATTTAAATCCTATCGAACATATGTGGGCCTTGTTGAAACGAAAGCTGAATGATTATCCTACGGCACCAAAAGGAATCAATGAATTGTTCGAACGGGTCACAGATGTTTGGTACAACAAAATTACTGTAAATGATTGTTTGGCTGTAATAGACAGTATGCCTAGTCGCTGCGAAGCAGTCATTAAAGCAAAGGGTTATTGGACCAAATATTAGGTTAAGTGCAAGCAATAAATGATATAATCCAAACCGGCGCCAAAACTGGAAACATTGATTACTCGTCTTAAACCCCTTATTTCTTTAACTTTAATAAACTTTAAAAGTCACAAAAATTAGTGTAACATAGTCGAGTTTGGGCCATATATTTTTTGAAAAAAAATCATACGATTCGGTTAATTTTCCATGGAGTAGTGTTAATTATACCAAAAAAAAGAAAACATGTTTCCAGTTTTGGAAGTCACTGTATACTGGGGGGACCAAACCTTTTTACAAATCGAGCGATTTGTTTTTGAAAATAAAGTTTGCTTGGGAACGGCCATATTTAGTTTGGGACATCTTTGGGGTAGCGGGAATAAACACAGATAATTTCGCAGATAGATACAGAGGATAACATGAGCTGATATCATTAATGTTTTCTAAGGAAGTTCAAAGGCAGAGGTACCAAAGAAACGCATGTTAAATGGTTTTACAAGCACAAGGGACAACGGGGATAAATTATTTGGAACACAGGCGTGAGACAGGATACAATAGTGATGTCTGACAGTGACATGTGTGACAGGAGGCAGAGAACAGAGAACAGGTGGAACAGGGGGAACAGGTGGAAAAGGAACAATGGGCTAGTTACGTTTCAATAATGGTCTGAGACATTTTGCATGATTATATGCAACTGAAACATAGGCGGTTCATGACAGTCCTCTAACTATCAACCGGCGGGCTGACCGATCGTCTTTCAGTTATCGTCCGGCAGGTTGACCGTTCCTAAATTATTTTTTGACCGGTCGGTTGACTGGTCGATGTTTAATTGCTAAAACGTGGCTGTAGTGTTCGTTATTTCAGAATATATGGAGCATTTACGAAAACTGCAATAGCAGAAGGTCAATTATTGTGTCCAAGGCCTATTTGGATATTGAGCTGAAAATTTTATGGCTAGAAAAATAAACCCATTTTCAATTATTTTTTACGCAATCTTTGCCATAAACTTAATATAATCATACTCCTGATTATTATTCCGCATAATCACGTGTGCAAGGAATGTCCAAAAAGACAGAAGTTTACTATTTTGGTTGCCATGGAATCTCCTGTAAAGTCTTACCCAACATAATAATTGCCTGTGTTAAAGTTACGCAACTCCTTGTAAAGTATATCACTACAGGTGTCTAGTCCTAATGTTGTATTTTGTACGCATTATAATTAACCTGACTAAGTATTTCGATACCATGTCTTATATACCAAATAATGCGATACGAATCATTTCTCATGGAAAACAATTAATATAACGTGTCCCTAAGCTTGAACCTGATAAACTTTTTGCTCTTTTTTAATTAAAATTTTATACCCCAAAAAACGTTTAGCTACAGATTTCGGACAGACGAACGATTGTAACATTGATTTGAAACATAAGCAATTAGTTTAAATATTTAGTTATAAAAACGTTTTACTGATAGTTATCAAAAATTATTAGTGCTCAAATATTAAAGCGGGGGAGTATAGGGAAAGCCCGTCGTTTGAAAGAAACAAAAAGAGCAGACAGTAATTTTTTAACACCCGACTTCGATCCAATATAAGGCTATAAGATGACAACGAAATGCTTTTAACTTAGACATCCCACCCGTCTTTTGAAACGTAAAGCAATGAATGCTTATCGTTTTTTTTCTTACCATTTTGTGCGTATACAATGATCGTGGAATAGACATAAAACAGCTATTTCTGATAGTAAAGTAGCGATAGTATTTAATATAGCTCTCGGCTACTATTAAAAAAAGAACGCGAAAAAGAAAAACAGAATAATTCGACTTTTGCACCTACATACAAAAAGTCGCTTTCCGACAGGTACGCGATCGAATCCAAAATGCATATTGAATGGTGATGATGGACGTCAAATTTCTTTATCTCTCACTCTTTTTATTGTTCGACATCAAACACAAAAAATACATAAATAACTAAATTAAATAACGTGCATGTTAGTATCAAAAGCGAATGTACGTACAAGGTAAACCAATCATCTTGTAACAGATAACCAAATGTTTTTGTTAGATGCAGAAAACCATGCCATTTTATTAGTCAAGGTTTGAGAATGTCAAACATTTAATTACCAACCGAAGAAGGTGAGCTCTTTTTTTATTTTAAAAATGTATATATAATAAGATGTACATAATCAGAACAATCTACGGCCTTGCCGATTGGGAGGAGACCGATGGCAGATCCAATGAAAAGAATGGCCGGAGAAAACCAAGACGGTAGCTCTTCCGGTAAGAAAAAGAAATCGTACACCATCAACCCGTACGTCGATGACGAGGCCTCGTTTTAAAATGACATTCAAAAATCCGATGAAACCGATGTGATCACACCAGTACAGGTGCCTACCACCTCTACAAAGGAGGCTGATGCAATTGTAACGCCCACAGTGGCGATTAGACAAAACATGTCTATAGGTGCTCTCAAGATCGGAAACCGAAAATAAATTGTCCAGTTTTTCTACAAAAATAGTAAAAGAACTGCTTGAAAAAGCGATCTAAAAATGTGCAAAATAGCACACATACATATATGGGTGGAAATAAAAATCTGATCAAAGTCAAAGTTCATTCAAAATTATTCGCTTGAAAAGGAAATGATAAAATAACAAAAGTTTTTAAATCCACATTTTTTTTATTTTTTTTTCCTCCCTTTTACTTTATTACTACTTTTTATCACTTACCTTACTATGAACAACACTGAAGCAAATAACAACACACCCAACAACGTACGTGGTCGTGGAAATGGACGTGGAGGTAGACGCGGACGTGTCGGACACGCTGGCACCTTTGTGTTTGTTGAGCCTACTGTTCAGCACAACACCACCCCTGTCAACAACAGCAATGACCAAGCTGAGAACAACAACGCTACTGTCGAAGATGACAATGGGCCTTCATGTCCATACAACGTATGGCCTGGGGTTGTAATTTGTATCTTTCTTGAGATCATGGCTGGCACCTAAAATCACTTGTTGAGAAGAGGAGATACTGCCTTGAAACAGTTTATCTGGGTTCATTCGGCAGCTCTCTTGAAAGAAAAGATAGCTGAATATCCAAAAACCGATGCAATCAGGGCTCTCATAGCAAATGTCACGCATCTCAGTATGCAACGCAAGTGGAAAGACATGAAAGCCAGATTCACCAGAGCCAGAAATGCAGCAAGAGAAACAGGAGTTGGTGGAACTGTCCTAGGCGTACCATACTATGAAGAAATTGCGAAGATCACTCAGGATGATCCTAGCATCCAACCTGAGGTAATTTACGAAAACGTCAACATGGAGGAGAATGGCATTCAATCATATAGAAAATCAAACGACGTTGATTTAATGGATGCCATTCGATCGGATGGTCCCGAAACTCCGTACTTGACACCTACGGAAGTCCATCTACTTGTGATCCAAAAAGCTTTGGCCGATCGATACCCCACTGAAGATTCTGTTGATTTTGAAGGATCTTCAGTACCATCATCATCAACAGCCCCTGCACCTGCACCACCGTCAACACCTTCATCCGCACCACCACCTCCACCTACATCCGCACCACCACCAATCTCAACACCAGCAACCGAACCACCAACACCAACACCAACATCAACATACGCAGTACCACCAGCATCGACAGGCGCAACACCCCCACCTCAATATACATCCGCACCACCTCCACCTCCACCTACATCCGCACCACCTCCACCAAGATCAACCCGCACTTCGAGAAATAATCGTACTTCTGGTGAGCAGTCTTCGTCAACTTTTGATCCCATCGAGGCTGCTCGTCAGTTGTCAGAGGAGCATATGGCACATGCCCGCCAACTCGGTATAGAGATGATGGACCGAATGGCAGCGGTACAAAGGGAAGGAAGGGAGCAAAGAATTCGTGACCTTGGCAGTATGCTGCAAAGGGTCAGTCGTAATCGAAAAACTGCATTGGAAGATATGCAAACAAGAAGACGACAAGAGTCGAGAGGGAGATATCGACTGCTAGAAGAATCAAGAAGTAGACGAGAGGCCGATTTGGAAGAGGATAGAGGTAAAGGTGTCTCTGATATGAAGACTATTATGAATAGATTTACAGCAATTCGAAGAGGCGATAGTGATACCAATCTTGGTTCATCTTCTACTGACAACAATAATTAAATAAAAAATATATTTAATATTATAAAACCTTTTGAAAACTAAGCAAGTCTATCTTGTCGTATTTGACGCCTAATTCCACGAATACAATCACTCTTATCTTGTCACTCAATTATAATACATATAACCTATGTATTATAAAGTACCATATTACGAATACATTCCTATTGGTACGACACAGTACCAGCTCCCTCGTATGTCAAACTGAGATCAGATTTCATAATCGTTCCTGGACTGGTCGAGTAGCTGCCGAATCTTCTAGTTTCATATAAATTTATTTTAGTAATCCAATCAAGGACCCTGTCATTGAATGGATAAACTATAATGCTCTAGAAGTGCCGGATATGGGTCAACTAGCTCCTTGTATATAACAATAAGCTATGTTTCATATGTAACTGATTTCTAAATCTAATTCTGCCATTTCCCAGTTTGCGGGTAAATAGTCAATTTGATATGCGCAGGAAAAATCTTGAAGTAATAATTGAATATAAAAAGGACCTCTATTTTTATCATGACAAACTCTCCAACTTATAATAAAGGATTATAGAGTCTCATTTCTTTACTTGCTTTATTTTCCAATTTACATTTCCGTTTTTATTCTCAATTATCACATATCTGTTCCCCTCATGATGTTGTTTCTTCTGAAGATAGACATTGCCTTAATACGGCGCATACCTGCAGCATCAATGGTAGCATCGGTACCGAGGAAAGGAAGCGGAGGTTCGAAGTTCACATCATTTTCAAATTGGTTTCTACGGTCTGCCTCAAAAAATCCCTCAAAATCCAAGCTTCCATCCAAAATGGCCTCTTCGATATCATTTTGGTTTAAACAAACGTTGTGCTAACCACAGCAAGATATGATGGTTTTAGCCATTCTATCAACGCTGAGCATATACAAGTGCTTCCAAAGGAATCTCCACCTGGACGTGAGCCCACCAAATGCATGTTCAATTTTAATTCGAGAACTAGAAAAGGTTGCATTGAAAACTTTTTCTTCCGCAGTGCTTTCACGTCGGCCATGGAATGGAACAATGAGATTTGGCAGCAAAGGGTAAGCCGAATCTAGGTCTCATCGTTAATGCTTTGTATACCTTAAAATAATTAATGAACTTACCTCCCAAAATATAAGTGTTTGCAGGATACCATCTGGCCGCACCCAACAAAATGTTTTGATAAATCACGCTGCTTGTGAATAATCTGGCATCATCGTTTCTGCGTTAATATAATAACAAACGGTAAGCAGCAGTATCATTTTTTTATCCTTCCACATGAACTTACCGGAATGCCCAGTTTTTACGTACATAAACCGAGTACGGGCATCACAAATTGCCATCAAATTCATGGATGCATGACTCTTTCTATCGACATAAGCGTTATCATTTATTGCTGGTTTTTGGATCACAAACAGCTTGCCATCAATTGCACCGAGTACACCAGAACGTCTCGTGGCACCAGGTTCACCAAGTTCTGCAAACTCACGAGCATTGTTCAAAGCTCTTTGTCTATCTTCGATGGGCCATGTTATAAGTTCGGGAGTAATCTCCAACATGGCATCAATAAATCTGTTAGTGAAATTATTGAAAGATCCGGCAGTTACTCCAAGATGAGTTTCGGCAATTCGATAACCAAAATGCGTGTTAGCAAATCTCCAAAGCACACACGCAACTTGCACTTCTACAGAGTAACCACCTTGCAGAATTGACCCAAGATAAGCAGCACATCTACTCAAACGATTAACGAGCCACTCGAAGGTCGACTTGTTGACTCGATAATGAGCTCTATAACTATGGCGGCTGTTACGATCGTCGTTCAAGTTGGGATGTTTTATCGTCCAGTGTGTTTCGTACGTGTCCATACGCTCGGTTCTAACAAACCTTCTGTGCGATTCTCGGGTCATCATCCCAGGGTTGCTTATGAAGATGTAATAAAAGATGTGATAGTTGATTAAAGTGGTTGCATGCAAAATTGTTTCTCTAACCCAAAGTTGAAACAAGCAATAAACGTCATAGTTGTCTTCAAGACGAGCATAGTCGGCAATAATGTTCTCGTCGGCAATGGCAACCTCTTGTTCAAGCATTTCCTCTTCTAAATCGAACTCTTCGTCAATTCTAATGATTTCTTTTATCACGGCATCGAAGTATTGATCTTCGTCTTTAAAACGGTCAGCACCATTTCCCATCCAAAGTTGCTCTTGCATTATACCGAAAAACGTTTCGTCAATTGGGTTCATGCTAAATAGGTACTTTAAAGAAAATAAAGATAAGCGAAAAGGAATATTCCGTTTTTTTACGTATAAAATCACGTTAGGTCTTTTAGTAAATTTGAAAGTGAAGAACCGTCACGGCATCACCTGATCAATGAAATCATTTTTTTGTCCAATTTTAAAAAATCCGTTCACACCCAAAAAAGGGGTCCACTGGCTTTTCGAATTTTACCTTGAGAGCACCTTATCTTAAATTAGGAACTTCCACTTAAGGCGATTAGAGTATTAAAAATGCCTACTCTGCCCTAAACTACCCAGCACGAAGATATAGACAAGTTTTTAAAAGACATCTTCTTTTATTTTAATGCCGGTTAGACATACTATGTGTTGCGAAAGTGTATACAATACGTTGGATGCTATTACTTTTTTTGTTTCTTCGAAGAGTCACAATTACAAGGCAAAGGATTACACAAGAAACACATGCTAACAATTAAAGGTAAAACATAGATGGCCTATTGCATACTTTAAAAATTTAACCTTCTTTCAATAGACGGTCAACATAGTAAGTACCAGACCAGACTATTAAAAGCTGCTGGTAAAAGACTCCATGTCTTGTTCAAGGAGTTTAAGTACGGGGCTCTTGCTATTGTAATTCCTTACTAAGTTGCAGCCTTTGAACGATGGAGCAGGGAAAAATTCAAGAAGTTCATTAGTGTTATCAAGCAGGATAAGGCCTTACCAAGGAACTACAAGATCTTCAGCTTCGCTCCACTTTCTTGGACAAAACTGGAGAATTACACTACATATATTATAAAGACAGCGACTACATTTATTGCAATGATATTCAAAATAATAAAGAAGTTCATTTTGGCTACTTGTCTTTCATTCAAGGTCGTAGTGTTTCATTGATCCTAATTGTGACAAAATGAAATATTTATACGAAAGACCAGTATTTTATTTTAAATTTTCTTCCTTTCTTATCAATAACAAGAGTCGCGGGTCTTTACAAGGTAACCCACAAGCAAAAGGTAGTAATGTAGTGAAAGAGACTAATGCGGTGAATCGTTCTATTAGAGTGCCAAGACCTATAAGAAGGAATCAGTACGACATTCTTCTTCCATGTATAGAGTCATCAGTTTGGGTAGATAAATTGAAGTCAGCAAAGACAGAGTCAAGTGATAGACAAGGAACACGAAACCCGAGCTTCTTCAAAAATGAGTCAAGCTAAACAAGAAAAAAAAGAAAGAACGTATCATCGTGGCCTGGTCATGGTAAGTGCATTGATTGATTGCCAAATAAAGTAGATTCTTTATTAAGTGGGTTTCACTTTAAACAGTAATGATATATTCATTTTGTTTACACAGAAGGATGATGAACAAGTAAAGAATAATATTGAACAAAGAAAGAAAGATTCAATGGGGTATATTAAAGGGAACAACGCTAGAAGTAAAAGGATGTATCAAATATTGACCGAGAAGCTGATCTTTTTAATACAGGTCTTGGTACAATTTGTAAAGATGAACGTATGCTCCTATCGTGTATGTCATGATAAATAGGATGAAGGCGTATTGGCGTTAAACACGGAGCATAAAACGAATTTTTAAATGAAAGAAAACAGGAACAAGAGCATGTCTCTTTTTTTTTTTATCTTAAAAGAAAAGTTGACGCTAAGTAAAGATATACGTCTTTGTAAGGAACAAAGGACAAGAGTATAAACTAGAAAATAGATGGCAAGTGGATGTATTCTTTTTTATTTATTTTTTACTTGATAGTTTAATTTATATCTAAAGGTCCATAAAATTTGGAAAAATAACGTAACCTCTAGGACTCATAAAAGGTGTATAGGAAACATGTCTGTATGTAAAGAAGGAACAAACCAAACAAGTACCAAAGAGTATAATAAGAAAGTGGTTTATGCGCACGGGCGCTAGCAATGTCAAAGGCCAGCACAAAATCTCCGCATACGTCATATATCTGTCATGAACCACGTACTTTGCAGTTTACCCCTGACCACGAATTCCCGACTATTGCAATGTTTTGGAATCTCATGCTGAGATTCAACAACCCCAGAGTCCAGAACCTTCCAGAACCTTCCAAGACTATCCACGCAATGAACCTCCGCTTGCAAGAGATTAGTAATCATGACTCGTTTCCAAGTATCTCCAACGCCAAGCAATTAGTAATCATGACTCATGGGTTTCGGCCACGTAAGCTGAAACCAACACTAAGACTAATTAAGTAAGCCAAGACATTCTTAAATGCAAACCGATGTTATCTGAAAAGATATAAATACCCCCCGTTTCCATTGCCTTCCC